TGGAAGGCAAGATGAGAGAGTATGTGTGGAGGGGGGGGGGGTCAGAAGGGGCACGGGACAGCATCTGGTAAGGGGGGGAAAGGGGGGGGGGAGAGACACCGGAACTCGTACTGGAAGTCTTCAGTACAGTCGTGTTTCTGTCAGGCAACATGGCACTTTCCTCTACCACGCCTTTCCATGCAGAATAACACACACGCTTTTCTGCTCTTTCTCTGTCTCTCTCTTACTTTCTCTCTCTCCATTACTTCTCTTTCTCTCTTTCTCCATTTCTCCCTTTCTCTCTCTCTCTCTCTGTCCCTCTGTCTGTCTCTTTAGCAATAACCGATTAAGTTTATCTTCATCAGGGAAAAACTTCGCAATCTCATATTCACGTTTCTTCCCATAAACCGAAAACAGAAAAAAAGAAAGAAAAAGAAAAAGAAAAAGAAACACACAACAGACCATAAAGATACATTTTCCCATTTTTTTCTACTTAAAAAAAAGTCTTTTCCCCAACAAGCGTCTCTCGTCATACAAGGAAATATCATTTTAATATCGTAAACTATTTTTTTTTCCTTCTTCTTCTTCTCCTTCTCCTCCTTCTTCTCCTTTTCGATTCAGTCACGAATCAAACCTCTGAACGCTTGGGTCATATACCGCGAGAGGTCGTAAATAAATCATTCTCCTCGACAAGGGTCAATACAAAAAAAAAAATCGATTAACAGTAATGTCTTTTTGAAATCATTGTTAAGTAATAAGAAACAACCTGGATGCATTGTTGCTTCTTGCAGATTAACGGATGAAGAGAGATGGAAAGTAAAAAAAAGAAAGGTATATATAGTTTAATGGTTAATGATCAAACTAACATTGATATTGATGATGACGATGATGATGATGATAATTGTTGATGATGATGATTGATAAGAAATAATGATTGATAATAACTGATCAGTGATGACGATCTATAATGACTGATGGTGGTGATAATGGGGCAATCCACTTACCATTGGGGCATTGGCACTTGTAGTAGAGTGAATCCTGGGCAATGCAAGTGCCATCATTCTGGCACGGCGAGGGTTCACAGGGGACGTAGCGGCTCTCGCAGTTGACACCGGTGTAGCCCACCTCACAGTTACACCTGCAATTAAATGCAACCACTCTCAGTATTTTTATTTGCGTGTTATCGTGACGATTAAACAAATTATTCTTTTCCCTACCACATGTATGACCTTTATCTCTCTCTCTCTCTCTCTCTCTCTCTCTCTCTCTCTCTCTCTCTCTCTCTCTCTCTCTCTCTCTCTCTCTCTCTCTCTCTCTCTAATCTTCTATTCGTTTTCTATTGGATTCTTCAAATCTTCCTTCCTTTTCCTCCTCCCCACCAATTTCTCCCTCCTTCACTTCACACTCTTACTTACACAAACACCAATGAAGTCACCGCGGAGAGGAGGACATCGAGCGCCCCGATAATCATGATGTCCTACAGCTAGGAGGGGAGGGGGAGGGGGGGAGGGGGAGGGGGAGGAGGGGGAATTTCCACTCGCGAAGGAACCCCGAGGAATTTTCCTTCACGACATCCTACGGAGCTGGGACCGAGCGAACGCCGACGAATTTCTCCCCCCGCCCCCCCTGAATTTCGAATCAACCCTGGTATCACTCCCTCTGAAATCTGAATTGTTGCAGAGTCCCTCCCTCCCCCCTAACGCCCCGTGTTCTATCGGGTGGTTTCGCCTTAGGGTTGAGAGGGGGGGGGAGGAAAGGAACGGCTGATTCCAAGGGTGCAACTTCTATTTCTCTCTCTCGTCCTAAGGTCGTCAGTTAGTCAATCCACGACTCTCTTTCTGTTAGAGTTTCTGTGAGGAACGACGGGGAAAGGAAAAGTACGACTGATCTTCGGCGGTACGACTTTCTCTCTCTTTCTGTAAGGTCGTCTTTGTGAGGGATGTGTCAGGGCGCACTGAGCTACGGACACTGTCAAGTGAGGTAGGTGGTACTGACAGCGGTGGCGTTGCAGGTGGGGGCCTGCTGATTCAGGAACGCCATTAAGCATCGCAGGGTGGCTCATGATGCATCTGCAACACCTCCGTAAGCACAACACCATGCACACATACAGACCTCCCTTCCCTTCCCTTCCCTTCCCTTCCCTTCCCTTCCCTTCCCTTCCCTTCCCTTCCCTTCCCTTCCCTTCCCTTCCCTTCCCTTCCCTTCCCTTCCCTTCCCTTCCCTTCCCTTCCCTTCCCTTCCCTTCCCTTCCCTTCCCTTCCCTTCCCTTCCCTTCCCTTCCCTTCCCTTCCCTTCCCTTCCCTTCCCTTCCCTTCCCTTCCCTTCCCTTCCCTTCCCTTCCCTTCCCTTCCCTTCCCTTCCCTTCCCTTCCCTTCCCTTCCCTTCCCTTCCCTTCCCTTCCCTTCCCTTCCCTTCCCTTCCCTTCCCTTCCCTTCCCTTCCCTTCCCTTCCCTTCCCTTCCCTTCCCTTCCCTTCCCTTCCCTTCCCTTCCCTTCCCTTCCCTTCCCTTCCCTTCCCTTCCCTTCCCTTCCCTTCCCTTCCCTTCCCTTCCCTTCCCTTCCCTTCCCTTCCCTTCCCTTCCCTTCCCTTCCCTTCCCTTCCCTTCCCTTCCCTTCCCTTCCCTTCCCTTCCCTTCCCTTCCCTTCCCTTCCCTTCCCTTCCCTTCCCTTCCCTTCCCTTCCCTTCCCTTCCCTTCCCTTCCCTTCCCTTCCCTTCCCTTCCCTTCCCTTCCCTTCCCTTCCCTTCCCTTCCCTTCCCTTCCCTTCCCTTCCCTTCCCTTCCCTTCCCTTCCCTTCCCTTCCCTTCCCTTCCCTTCCCTTCCCTTCCCTTCCCTTCCCTTCCCTTCCCTTCCCTTCCCTTCCCTTCCCTTCCCTTCCCTTCCCTTCCCTTCCCTTCCCTTCCCTTCCCTTCCCTTCCCTTCCCTTCCCTTCCCTTCCCTTCCCTTCCCTTCCCTTCCCTTCCCTTCCCTTCCCTTCCCTTCCCTTCCCTTCCCTTCCCTTCCCTTCCCTTCCCTTCCCTTCCCTTCCCTTCCCTTCCCTTCCCTTCCCTTCCCTTCCCTTCCCTTCCCTTCCCTTCCCTTCCCTTCCCTTCCCTTCCCTTCCCTTCCCTTCCCTTCCCTTCCCTTCCCTTCCCTTCCCTTCCCTTCCCTTCCCTTCCCTTCCCTTCCCTTCTCCCCTCCCCTCCCTTCCCTTCCCCTCCCTTCCCTTCCCGTCACCCCATGTTCGGCAAATCCTGATGCACATGACGTCATCAACCCATCGAAAAGCCCTCCCACACACACAACAAACAGTGCCAATAAAAGCTTAGCATCCGACGCCTAAAAAAAAAAAAAGACCGGCCCTTTAAAACCTGCTGAGTTGTATGACTCTACGAATGGCTTCCCGTGTCACAGGATCCCTGTTTTCTCGACTCTCCTAATGACTGTGATGGGCTTGTGCTCTAAGGTTACGGGGTGGGCGGGGGGGCGTGAGTGTAGATGAATGAAGGAGACGCGACCTTGTGGCTACATTACGTTTCATCTCGTATGTTTATCGCGTGTAACGTTACCTCCCGATGAGTAATGAAGACTTGGCTTCGTTGAGAGGGTTGTCAATAGAAGCTCATTCACGCCCTCCCTTCTCTTCTTCTTCTTCTTCTTCTTCTTCTTCTTCTTCTTCTTCTTCTTCGACGTCGTCCTCCTCTTCATCATCCTCGCCTTCTCTTCACCCGGTCGCCGAGCATTCGCCATTTCCTTTCCCTTTCTCTCTTTCCTTTTCCCCTTAAATTCCCCGTTTCGTTCCTCATCTCCTCCTTGTTTTTTATTTATTTATTTTTGTTGTTGTTTTTTTCCTTTCTTCTCCGCGGTAATTATCTTTTACATGTTCATATTTATCTTTTTTCCCTACTATCTCTACGCGGTTCTTCTATGTCAAGCATGCAGCATAAACTCACGTGAAAACTTACGTGTACGATCCGAAGGTGTTGGTGCAGGTGCCGTGGCGACAGGGGTGCTCCTTGCATTCGTTGACATCCGTCGTGCAGGTGGGTCCGGTGAAGCCCGGCGGACACGTGCAGACATACGTGTTCCCCGGGGAGTGGCACGTGGCACCGTTGCGGCACGGCTTGGAGGCGCAGTGGTCCACCAGCTCGCACTGGTCGCCGCGGTAGCCGGAGGGGCACTGGCATACGTAGGTGTCGAGCGTCAGGAGCTGGCACGTGGCGCCGTTCATGCAGGGGTCGGAGTCGCACGCGTTCTTGACGGCGATCTCGCACAGGGAGGCCTGGTAGCCGACGGGGCACTCGCAGTTGAACCGCGGCCCAGACACGTCCAGGATTACGTTGCACGTGCCGCCGTTCTGGCAGCGAGGACCCGGCGCGTTGCGGCACGGGTTCAGGTGCTGGCAGTACTCGCCCACGAACTGGTCAGGACATCTGCGGGAGAGAAGGGCGGGATTAGTGTCGTGTTTCATAGGAAGACATCGGCGAATAATCTGAACTTTAAAATAAATAAACTGCGTAAGACTACACAGACACACACACACACACACAAAGCTAGACAAACAAACAATCAGACAGACAGACAGACACACACACACGAACCACTCACACGCACAGCCGGCGATGTCAAGAGCGAATCAGCGACGGGGGCGCGAGCAGCGTGAGGTCAGCAGCACAAAGCCCGCGCAGGGAGGTGGGCGTTGCAACAAGCCTCCTCCTCACGCCCACTTGCACCCCCGCGCCAGCCGCCCGCTTGTGCACAGGACCTCCAATACGCTACCTACCAGCTGTCGCGGCCACCCACGGGCACCGCCGCCCGCGATAAGCACCGGCCACCCACACGCCCATGTCAGGGCAGCGTACCCCCGGCCAGGCCATAGCGTTCCGCGACGCCACACGGTAACAAATTGCACGCTCGGTGGTTGCAAATTGCACGCAAATAGCTAATCACACGCATTTCTCAGAGGAAAATTGTTACTTAGAAGGAAAGAAGTTCGGTTCGATTGTGCTTGTTATCTTCCACTTGGGGGGGGGGGGGAGAGAGAGAGAGAGAGAGAGAGAGAGAGAGAGAGAGAGAGAGAGAGAGAGAGAGAGAGAGAGAGAGAGAGAGAGAGAGAGAGAGAGAGAGAGAGAGAAATGAGAGAGAGAAAATGAGAGAGAGAGAGAGAGAGAGAGAGAGAGAGAGAGAGAGAGAGAGAGAGAGAGAGAGAGAGAGAGAGAGAGAGAGAGAGAGAGAGAGAGAAAATGAAAGAGAGAGAAAATGAAAGAGAGAAAGAGAGAAAATGAAAGAGAGAGAGAGAGAGAAAATGAAAGAGAGAAAGAGAGAGAGAAAATGAAAGAGAGAGAGAGAGAGAAAATGAGAGAGAGAGAGAGAGAGAGAGAGAGAGAGAGAGAGAGAGAGAGAGAGAGAGAGAGAGAGAGAAATAAAGAAAGAGAGAATGAAAGAGAGAGAGAGAGAGAGAGAGAGAGAGAGAGAGAGAGAGAGAGAGAGAGAGAGAGAGAGAGAGAGAGAGAGAGAGAGAGAGAGAGATGAAAGAGAGAGTTAGAAATAGACAGAAAGAGAGAGACTGAGTGAATAAACAAGTATATGTGCGAGCGTGAATGAAAATACTTTAAACGAGTCTATAAGTACCGACATGTGTATTTATATGTGCGTGTATTCGTGTACCCATGCGCTTCAAAGGGCATGTACGTGAGCATTTGCGTCCATGTGAAAGTGGGCGTCCGTGGGCATGTGCGTACGTACCTGCAAGACCATGTGTAAAACGAACCGTATCAAGTACACAATACACAAAGCGAGCGAGAGAAAGAGAACATAGACCACAATGATTATTACCCCAGCATGTTCAGTGCCCGAACCCTCCTCCACCCCCCTCCCCCCGTCCCATTCTCCCTCCCTCCCTCCCTCCCTCCTTCCCTCCTCTCCTCCTCCCCCCGTCTCATTCTCCCTTCCTCCCTCTCTCCTTTCCACCCATCCCCTTCCCCCTTCCCTCCCTCCCTCCCTCATTACCCCCCCTTTCCCCCTTCCCTCCCCCTCCTTCCCTCCTTCCATCTCATTCCTCCCTCCCTCCCACCTTACCCCCCTCCCCTCCCCTCCTCTCGTTATGCATGGGCGACTTGGTATAAAGTCGAGTGAGGGGTATGACCGAGGGGAGAGGGAGGGAGGGAGGGGAAGGGGGAGGGAGAGGGAGGAAGAGGGACCGCGGTGGCCTCTGCGGTACACAGAGAACTGAATGATAATAAAAAAAGAAGACATAATGAATAAAGAAGAAAAAAAAATCAATTGCCCTCACTTCAGATACAGATGTCTACACCGCCTGCTGGGGAGTCACGGGCAATCCCTCCCTCTCAGTGAAACGCCATTTGTCTCGAGCATAAAAAAAAAGTTATTGTGGACTCGCATAAGGTCCCGTATGTAAATTATCTACGGTAACGAGTGAGGAGGGAGAGACTCTTCCAAGCATGAAATACTTTTGGAAAATACAATAATAATAATTTCCTATTATAAATGACGATTATGATGATGATGATGGTGATGATGATGATAATAATAAGAGCTATGGTAATGATAAAAAGAATGACAATAAGAAAATATAAATAACAAAAACAATATCAACAACGATACCGACGAAAACTATAATCAAAATCCCAGAAAACAGAAAATCCCACGGACGGAACACTAAAAAAATAATAAGAAAAAACAAACCAAAGATACACAAATCAACAAACAAAAATACAAGAAAACGACCCAAAGACAAAACAAGACAAACAACCCGCCAATAAAATAAGCAAGCAAGCAAGCAAGCAAGCAGGTGACGAGGCGAGACGCGTAGTCCTAGCAACGAACACGGGCCCTGCGCGAGGAGGCCGGACGGGGGGTCGTGTGCAACACAGCGCCCCTACGTCACCACTTGCCACATGCAGCGTGCAGCCAGAAATCATTGTGAGGTCCCCCTTTCCCTCCCCTCCCCTCCCCTCCCCTCTCCTCTCCTCTCTTCTCTCTCTCCTGTCTCTATTTCTATTTCTCTATCTCTCTATCTATCTATTTATTTATCTGTCTGTCTGTGTCTCCTCTCCCCTCACGTTTCTTCCCTCTTGTCACTCCCTTTTCTCTCTCTCTCTCCTCTTTCTCTTGTATATCTCTCGTGCCTACGCCTCATCCTCCCCCTTCCGGTCTCCATCTTCTCTCTTCCTTCCTTTTAATTTTTTTTCTCATCTCTCTTTCTCCTATCCTTTCTTTCTTTTGCCTTCTCATCCCCAATACCTTCCCTTCCCCTCACCCCCTTTTCATCTCCCCTCCCTCCCCTTCCCTTCCCCTTACCTTCTCCCCTCCTCTCCTTCCTCCTCCTCCTCCTCTCCTTCCTCCTCCTCCCCTTCCCCTTCCCCTCCCCTCTAATTAAGATCCTCATCCTCCCCCCACCCCCACCCCCTTCCCCCAACCCCAACCCCCCGGCCCGCAACATACTACAAGAGAGCGCCCTCGTTAAGCCCCCGGAGGTCGGAACAGATAAACCACGGCGCAAACACGGATTTTGCGAGTGATAAAACCGCAATATCGTGACGGCAAGAACGCGAAGCCCCCGAGGCGAGAGCGAGGAGCCGCGGCTTGAGAACGCTCCGGAGGCTTCCCTTTTTTTCCCTTCCCCCACCCCCCACCCCCCTCTCACCCCCACCCTTACCCCTACCCACTCTACCCCCGTGCCCGCTTGCAGCGCGCATTAACCATGCATCCGAATTAAACTTACACGTCACACTCGCCCACATACACATGCGTACCAAAGCACATAAATGGCTGTATGTGTGCGTACGTGTGCATATGTTATACATGCATACATACATACAAACACATTCTTCCAAATTGCTATTTGTGTATATAAATATAAATACATTATATAATCATGTATGAAAACACGCATACATATATGTGTATAAATATATATACAATTATATATATACATACATATCCACATACACACGCACGACCATAAATCATATTCATATTCATATTCATATATATTTATATATATATATATATATATATATATGCATGAATCGCAGAAGGCACCTTGCTGGAGATGCTATCGAGCCGCGAACACGGGCACCCACGCCTCACGCCCGTCCCTCGCCCTTTCCCATCGCGCTCTCTCTCTCTCTCTCTCTCTCTCTCTCTCTCTCTCTCTCTCTCTCTCTCTCTCTCTCTCTCTCTCTCTCTCTCTCTCTCTCTCTCTCTCTCTCTCTGCCGCCCTCGCCCGCACCGATAAGCCCCTCCGCTCCATTTACACTTGTGGCACGAGGATGCTCACGCCCGTATGTCACCTTGCCCGATACCCTCCCGCCCGCACCCGCCCTGCACGCGAACACCGCCCCTGCGCACGGGGGACGTAAGGGCGGATTGGGCAGGCGCGCGCAGTCAAAAGAGTTAACGATGAAAGGTTCCCACGCTACTGATTGAGGGGGAGTGGGGGAGGCAAAGGGGGGTGGGGGGGAGGACTGAGGGGAGGGAGAGGGCCGGGTGGCTGAAGGGGAGAGAGAGGTGAGATGAGAGGGCAGAGTGAGGAGGGGGGGGAGGGGAGGGGAAAGATGAGGGGAGCAGAGAGAGAGGGAGAGAGAGAAAGTGAAAGAGCGAGAAGGAAAATAAAGAGGGAGAGAGGGGAGGGTGAGAGAGGGAGAAATCCAAAGCGGTCGAAAAGCTACGAAGGGGCCCAGGGGAAGTGGGCAGTGTAGGGGAGGGGAGGGGAGGGGAGGGGAGGGGAGGGGAGGGGAGGGGAAAAAACTGTCTGCCAGATGATGCTGTTTTCAGATGATGTTGACAGTGGAGTGAATGTGTCATGAGACCTGCTCTGGCGGTGATGGTGACAGAAGGAGGGGAAGAGGAGGATCAGGGGAGGAGGGAGGGAGGAGGAGGAGCAAGAGGAATAGGAAGGGAAGAGGAGAAGGAAGAGGAGGATTGAGAATGAGAATGAGGAAGAGGAGGGGGGGGGTAAGAAGGAAGAATGATTTAACACGAAAACAAAACAAAAACACACAAATAATAAGCAAAACAAACAAACAAACAAATAAACAAACCGGACACGCACACGCAAACAAGATAGAGAAGAGAGCACCACGCCGCAGCCTCCCCACCCCCTTTCCCCCCACCTAACCCCCCCTAACCGCCTCACCTCTTAGAAGGGCAGACCACAGACAGCGAACGCCACGCAAGGCCCTGCATGCTAAGACGGGCGTGAGGGGCGTGCGGGCGTGCGATCGTGTCAACCCTCGGCAGCAGACGCGAATCGACAATGTGGTGTGCCGACGATCCCCAAGACCACTCGACACATACACACACATGCAACGAGGCCTACCACATGGCCATGTTTGTGCGGGCGTGGCCACCACATACCGGCCGCCAGCGATGCATGGAGTTGATACTGAGGGGAATGGGGGGGGGGGGG